TATAGGTAATTTTGATTGAACAATTATTGAAGTAAAACAATTGAAAAGAAATCATAGCTACAAATTTACCGGCATTAAAAATGTAATAGGAAGTAGCATTACGTTAACAAAAATTTCCTGTAATGTTATTACAATTGTAATAGCTATTACCGGTAATGCCAAATGACTGGCATCACAATTGTAACACAATATCGGTAATGCTAAATTTTGGCATTACAATTGTAATAGCTATTACTTGACCCGTGAAAAAAAAATTCTCTGTAATGCCACGTAACATGTTACATTTGGCATTACATTGCGTGTGTAATGTTAGAAAATCACATTAATAATGCTAAAAAAATCACATTAATAATGTTAGATTTCTGGCATTACCGTTAATGTTAGGTAACATGTTAATATTGTAACGGACGGGTCAAGTAATAGCTATTAAAATTGTAACACATTACCGGTAATGCTAAAGTTTGGTATTACAATTGCAATAGCATTACTTTGGCTCTTCGTTACAATATTAATGTGTTACGGCAAAATGTAAATCTGTAATCATAGCAACAGCAAAAAACTGTGCCCAATAACTATCTTCGGTCAAACATATCCTAGAAGAAATATGAAATTTTGGATGAAAAATCGAATTAATATATGCATTGTTACAGCTGTGTTGCTAACTAACCAGTGAACAATCATAGTCAGACGGAGATTTCCAAACGCTTATGTGCGTTCTAATTTTTTTGGCATTGTTTTCGTCTCGCTTTCCATCCCCATTCCCATAACAATGTTAACGTCTTATAAGTAAAGTAGACATAAAGATTTATTTCTCTTTTACTTTTCCACATTACCCTGTCGTGTAAGAAAAGTATTGGGATCACCCCAGATTTTTTGACCCACTAAAAATCAGTTTTTTCAGAAAAACGTGAAATCTAGCGTTAATTTAGGGTCGTAGAGTGAGTGTGTTGTACGCTGTACACTGTACCCTGTACTCTGTACGCAAAAAATACGGTAAAAAATGTGCTATTTTGGAATGTATAGAAAAGAGTCAGTATTGGAAAAAATCTGCTATGTTTGCAAGTGTAGAACTGAAATGAATCGTGTAGAAAAGTTCACCTAACGTATGTAAGGCATTTTATTTTATATTTCGTTTGATTTTTTTTCATTTCTTTCTTTTGCTTTGGTATATTTTTTCTTGAGTTCATATATTATTTATATTATATCTTCGGAGCTTTGGATGTGATCACATCATCAAATCACTTCAACTTCTGTTTTGTGGGTATAACTAAAAGGCGAAAAATGTTCATGTAAACAAAGTGGACAAAAAGTTCCGTATATGTGCTATGAAAAATTCTGTGTATATTGAAAGAAGAGATTAGAGCTTCTGCGGTGGCCTTTCCTCTACTGTGTTTCTTTATTTAAGTGTGAGGATCGGGTACATTTTGGATACTAATCATATTAAATAGTTCAACAAATGTTTATAGTTGTGGAAGCCATGGTGCTATATACGTTTGGGTGTTGCAGAAGAAAAAACAATTTCCACGAAAAATGTATAGCAGTAAATGAAAAACAAAATCTGCAAAAAAGCGAAGCTGCAAAACACATATTACATAATATCGGAATTCAGGATTTCGAATCGAAGCTTATTGGAATTGATGTAGCACATGTATATTATTTATATTACCCGGGAAAGTTGATATGATATGTGTGAATATGCATGGATTCGGATACCACCACATCATGTACACATACTACTACTCATGATATAACTAACAAGTGGAAGAAATCGACAACACACAGGGTAGTGCAAACGAATGAAAAATTGAAAATGCGGCACTAGAGACGCTGATGACGGCGGCGACGACGACGACGATGACAAAAAATTGAAAGAGAGAGAGAGAGAGAAGAGAGCGGAACAAAAAAACTGCAGAAGCTTTTGGCGGCTGACATGAACTGACCTGAATGTGCAAAGCATTCCCGGACCGCACTGCGCAATATGTGAATACTATTTGTTATATGTGTGATGCAAGAGAGATGGTGTTGTATAGAAAATTAAGCTACGTCCGTACATTCGAATTTCGAATGTGTACATATCTTCTTTTTTCATTTCATACCCAGATAAACTATCGCAATAAGCACAATTGAATATATACAGTCTCTCTCGCTCACTCCTCCACTCGTCCACTCTTCCACTCTTTCTCTCTTCTCCACGCATTCATATAATGACATGAACAAATGTGAAATGTTGGTCACAACACACCAAATAGAATCGCAATTCGTATCTATCAATTTATATAATATACAAGCGTGCTTTAGATTTTGAGCTCAGCACACATGAAATGCCAGAGCGTTGACTATTTTCTGTTTTTCGCCTTCCGAATTCTTTTTTCGTACTCTGCAATAGCACACGCAGTAACACCCATACAATTTAGCCATTTAATTGAACTAGCATTATAGCCCATAACAGCAGCAACACCAATCACATAACAGTAAGTTATACTCGTTCAATAATATGAACAGATCTGGAAAACGTCTATCACAAACTCTGCAAAGATAATGTGGAGCATGTGCGTTATGCACAGTTGTTGACCATTTTTGTCTGGGAAGTCATGTTCAATTTAGGAAAAATCTGTATTTTCGATGATGACGTTAGCGAGTGATGTATGATTCCCCAATCATTTGCCTGTAAACGTGTCTCAAAGTAAATGGTTAGCATTACCTTTGGGCTTGAATGCTCCACTTTTAGGACAATAACACCAAAATGCCTACCCCGAAATTTAAATAGGCGCTTTGTGACGCATTGTGATTCTTTTAGCACGATCGACTTTATGTCAGATAGACAATTCGATGCAGCGACGCCCAACATAATTACCTCACAAATGTCTGCTCTACATTCGTACATTGGATTCATTTGCTATATCACATGTCATACCACCGATTCATACACATATTATTGCTGAGAGAGATATATCTATTGCTGAGACGTAAGAGAACGTAAGTTTGTTCAACTTCGTAGCAATAAAAGGAAGTAAGTTTCATTGAAATGAATATTATAAAAAGAATGTACATTCCATTTCACCACAATATGTAAAATGACGCCACAACATTGCGCCGGCCATAAGCAGCGGTTGGCCCAAGGCAAGTGGTGTTTTTTAGTCGGAGTAGATTTTGAAAAAGAACACCGCAACTAAGTACACTTTCAGTGGTGAGTTGCGCCCTACTTTCAAAAATCATTCTGAAACGAATTCAGATCGTTATGGGTAGTAAGATTAAGTCATGCACCACCATTTACCCGGGTTGGAAACTCCAATATACATATATACATATGAGGGGTTTGGAGCGAAAATGTCATACAGAAAAGTTGAGAGTAAAAATGTCAAATGAAAAGAGATAGCTATATAGTTCACTATAGTTTACTATACAGTTTACTATATATCTATCCCTTTTCCGCTCATTCATCATCGACATTTTCCCGCTCAACTTTTCTGTATTACATTTTCGCTCTAAACCCCTCATATATGTACAGTCTGGCCTACTCGATGTATAACTAAAGTGTAAAAGAAACAAAAGAGTAAAGTAACTTTCATAATTTTTAACATTTTTCATTGCTCCAAAAATGAAATTTTTCAAAAAATGATCAGTCTTTCGGAATCCGCTGAGAGATTTCAAGTTTGGTTCCACTGGTTCGCGTTATGTCTTCAAGTTCGCTATTAACGATATACATTCGAACGCAAATTTGCACGAACTTGAATGTTAAGAATTCGACCTCATTCTGGTTATAGTTCTTAAATTGCGATGTCCATATTTTGGCATTTTTGTGGTCTAATAGTGACTTATAATATACCCCAAGAATGAAAGTCTACGGGGCCTCGTTCGTGAAATACTGCAGTTAATAGTCAGCCAAAATGAGCCCCAAAAAGTGATTTTTCCAGCAAATCATGACTTTCTTTGAAATTTGCTATATATAGACATTTTATTGGAATCTTTCCAAATAACCAATGAATGGATTGGTTTAAGAGAGCTCCAGTCTTCATCTCATCACTATTTTTGAAATATATTTGCACTTAATTTGGGGTCAGAATGAAGAAATTAGTGGTGAAAATTTGAGGTCGCCACAGGTCTTACCTCCAAAAGGAGTTGTGACTGAGAGATTGTGGTCAAATAATAACTAGAGTTCTTCTATGATGATCCCCGAATTCGAATCCAATTACTTACATGGTCTGTTGGTACTTTAACTTTACTATTTTTCCCACCAAAGTTTATTTTACTCGAAATTACTCACGTTCGTGTAAAACGCATTTGATTAAATGGTGGTCGTGAATTCATAACTCGATCCAGTGGAATTGAAATCTAAATCTGAAAGCTGGTTATGAAATTTTGATTATTCTGTAACATTCCTTTAGAACAATGGGAAATGTCAAAACACAAAAAAGTTGTAGTCATTTATTTTAATTACACCACGAGTGGGCCACCCTGTATACATATGCCGCTATCCGATCTACGTATTCTGTTTGTTATACGTGGTACAGAACCTGGCTGGTCGGCAGACACATATGGAATCGATGACAATGTACAAATGCTCTGAATTCTATGTAAGAAATTACCACATGAATTTATTTGTTAGGGATAATTGATTCAAAGTCTGTTTGAGATCAAATTGATGTAAAATCTCATAAATTCATTTGACGTTATTAGAGGCAAGAGTGAAGAAGAAGTAAATTGCACTTAACTTTGAGTTAATTGCATTTATACTGGACTTCGAGCTCAAACAGATAGTGCCAGACAATTATTCGATACTATTCGACTACAGAGATTGGCTCCATCCACTTTACGAAAACGTGATGTGTTTTTTTTTTTAATCAAATATAATATCCATTTTGTTGGTTGTCTTTAATCTGTATTATTCAAGATAACGTTGTATGTATTTTTCGATTTATCTTGCGTCTAGATGGTTTTCGAACAACAACATTGAATCGCTGTCAGTCATAAGCGGTCCTCGGATTCGAGTTTTGGGTCCAGTGTTAGCAATTGAAGCAGTCACAAGTGAAGATGCTGGTACATATAAATGCCTAGTGTCAAATGCAGGGGGTGAGGCAAGTGCTGAGTTGAGATTAACAATAACGGCTCCTCTGCAAGTGGATGTGGTACCAAACATAATGAGCGTTCATATGGGTGCATCAGCTGAATTTCGCTGTACAGTTACGAGCAATGGAATCTCAATCGGATTGCAGCACATTACTTGGTACAAGGACGGTCGTCAGCTGCCGGGGACAAGTCGTTCCGGCGATACATTGCTGATAACCGATGTAGGGAGGGAAGATAAAGGAATGTATCAATGTGTTGTTCGGCGTCAGGATGGTGATAGCTTCCAGGCAGCGGCTGAACTTCAATTAGGCGGTAAGTCATCTTTATATTTTACAGTTTTTATTGGTTAAATATTTGAAATCGCTTTGTAATATTAAATGGATAAACAACAAAAGACTAATATAAAATAGAAAATAGCTTGTGTAATTTTCTACGCTATTTTTATTCAACATTTGATACTATTTTCATTTATGACAGTCATGTCATTTCGAACTCATTAAACATAAATTCATTGACAGTTTATTTATAGATGTGGTTCGTTTTTGTATATTCTTTCATTTTAAGTGTAAATAATAAAATTTGCTGTTTAATCTATTCAAATATAAACGATACACAAGCAAATGCTATTCGTTCCAAAAGCACTGTCAATAAGATGAACCAAAAGATCTGACGTCTATTATTATTATTATTATTATATGAATGCATGAGAACATTCTTGACCTGCGAAACAAAGTTCGTTCCGAAATGCCTCATACATTTCTATAGCAATAAGAGGGACTCAAGAAAAAAGTGAGCCTCATGATTATGGACTTTTGTACGGGGTTTTAAATGAGAATATTGGAAGGAAACCTGCTAACATCATATTTTTGACGTATTTCTTTGTTTGATTCAAAGGTTTTTTCGTCTGTGCTCCAAACCTCTATGAATGAAATTTGATGGCTATTGCCTATTGGGCCTACATCTGCAAGCGCGTCGTACAAGCGATTATGAATAGCGTGTCAGTTATGCGTTACGGTAACGTCGATTCAGTGCGAATTTTTGCTTGGTTTGTTGACCAGCATGCTATAAATGTCTACCCAATTTTCCCCAATCCGATTTTTCGACATTTTTAATTTTAAAATGAACATACACTATTCGTTTTCTTAACAAAATCGATGCATAAATACAAATTTAGTATTAAAAATACATTATTTAGTGTATACACTCACATTCAGAAAACGTTCCGTACATATCCATATGCCACAGCATAGTTACATAGAACATGCCAACGCATACACTTTCACATTTCAAATATATCATTCAAGTCCAATTGGGTAATTCAATTTGTCGTTCTTCAACACACTGCTTGTCATACGATCCGAAATGAAAATTCTCTCCGTTCATGAAAAATTTACTAGTTTGAAATGTGTGGCTGTGTGCAATATGTATGTGTTTGTGTTTGCGCGTGTGTGCCAGCCTATTTTGTATGGTGTTGCCAAAAAGACCAGAGATGCCGGAGTAAATTTACTTGACTAAAATATTTACTCAACCAAATGAGAAATGAAATTGGCTATACATTATGCGTCATCCAATTCAAAGCTTCAGTGAATCTAAAGCCTTCACAACACGTTTCACCCAAAGGTTTCTGTATCACAATCATACACATACGTGTGCATTTATTCCATCCCGGAGATATAACGGTAATTGGTTACAATTCTAAGGAGAGAATCATTGAATTTGTTGTATTTTTTTTGTACGTTTTACTTTTTTGCACACATAGCGTAAAAGGAAACTATTGGCATATCGCAAGCACTAAACCTCAATTGATATTGTTTTCATATGAATTGACAATTTGGCAAGCAGAGCTGGCGCCGCCCGTCAGGAGAATGATGAAACAATGAAAAAGCATCTATTGTGTTCAAATCAATGGGTTATGTATGATCTAATTGCAGTGGCTATCATCCCTATGTAAACCCATACACAGTTTCTTATAATACTGCTTCTTCTTCTTCACACTGTCGTACACAATGGGCGCGACCATATTGAAAATGTATACAGTGTATTGCGTGCCATTTGTGAACATTATAACCAATATGGCGACTTATATGTATAGATGTGTGAGTTAAGAAGAAGAAGCAGTCGCACTGCACCGTTCGCATACGGACGGTGGCTATTGTATTGAAGTCACATCCAAGACACAAACCAAAGTTCATGTTACACTTAGTTCATGTAGCTGATACCCGACGCTTGCGCCATTGTTTTGACGTCTTATACTTGCGATATGACTATTGGAATTGCTACCGAAGATTTTTCGCAGAATTAGTGTGGCTCATCATTGAAAATCATGTATCAATAGCAAAAAACGCACCAACAATGTGCAAATTTTATGAAATCCTGTTCAAAGTGGACGGAATAGGGCACATTGTTGCAAGTTGAGATTCCCAACTTGAGCAGCACTATTTTGCTTGTAAATAGCTCTGTTTTGGATAAAGATTTATAAGAGATGATTTTACACATGGAAAGATAATGTCTACAGCTACAGTTTTGCCTAAGAAACTTATATGATTGCTTTGCCAAAAAAAAGTTATTATCAATTTTCTGAAAGATGTGCAAATGGCAAAAACAAATTCGCTGCAGGTTGAGAATTTTGGAAAATCTTGTTCAAGGCAATGTCCATTTGAAAATTTTAGTAAACATACATTCTTTTTTGACAATACAGATGCATTGAAACTTACTTCCCTATATTATCAAATGAATAGATAGAAAAACACACATTCTCTTTGTTAAAGGAGTTCAGTAGAAAATCGATCGATTTTTGCTCTATGGAAATAATCTTGTCAGAGGTCACCGCTGTTTCATTCCAGTAAACATCAACAACTACACAGATTGTACGTTAACGTACCAATTGTTCGCCACACAGGGGTACACAAACACCAATGCAGTGTCCGCACACATTATATATTTCGCCATCTGTCACTCTCTGTATCTTCTATCGGAGATTTTGGAATTCCAATAATATTACAAACATTTGGTAGGCTTTCTACTACTACTTCAACGAAATACGTATAGATGGAGTTGAATTATCGACGGCTGAATGTGCATTTCGATAGTTAAATGGACGGCAAACGATAAAATCGAGTTGTACACAACTTGCGCCACGAACTAGTGCGCCGATCTTATCGAATATCGCTTTAAATCAGTGTATACAGCGAATGTATTCACTAATGAATTAACAAAAAAGACACTAGTTTGGCGTTTCCATATACTACGTACAAAAATAGTTGAAACCACTATATTTAGTCTATTCAATTATACACAATACAAAACAGCAGCTGACCGCATTCTTAGATGGAGTTAGATGTCCTTGTCCATACCAAATGTACACAACAACAAAACTCCAAATCAAAAATTGTTGACAAATACCAATTACTGAGCGGTTAATAGGCATATTCCAATGAAAAACCGAACATGTCAATAAATTGTTATTAATATTTCCACTATTTCACTGACAAATACAAATGAACGGGCAAGTAATTGACATTCACAATAATTTGATGTTAGGTTTCTTTGTACTGTAATGTATTGCAATTTGCAACTCCATATACATGCTCGGAATATAATTTATGTAGCAAATATAGGGGAGATGGGGGCTATGCGAATCACTTTTTGGAAATGATCACGAATTGCCACATATTATATATCGTTGAAAAGCCATTCTCCTAAGCTATCTTTTACATAAATAAACTATCTGTGTTGGGTGTCCCGGTAGTGAGATATGGGCCTATGTTCGGACCTCCTGACATGGGAGCTATTCGGTACATGTGGGGGCAAATCGGATCATAGGTGGGGGCTATTCGGATCACCCTCATTTCGTCGCATTTTAAGTATAAAAACACTCTCCGAATCAGTATTTCGCGTAATTGGAGTCTTTTTTCTGGTATTTCAACAGTTTATTTGGAATCTAATTACTTAAGTTTTCAAAATTAGGGAATCCAAATAGGACGTAAAATACAGAAAATTCATGAAATATTTGAGAAATGAGCCTCAAAATTAACCAATATCAGGATTACATGATCAGCATTACATTAAAAATACATGAAATGCGTAATAAAATAATGAAACTTTGATATACAGCAGTAAATTGTGTAAAAAGTTCTGATCCAAATAGCCTCCAGGCACCATTTTTGAAATTTTGTCCCCAAAAAATATCACGCACCAAATATTTATCCAAACTGTTTTTACTCATAGATAATACTCGAAATTAGCTTCCAGAATATAATACCTTTCAATTCGTTGCTTCATCGAAACAACAAGAAATTCGAAATTCCGTAGTGATGAAAATATTTTGGCGAAAGGACTCAAAACACACTTTTGCCGTTTTACGGCATACCCCATACACATTGCATATTCATTTTAGCTGCCAAATATATGGCAAATAAAAACACATTTAATGAAGGTTCCATATGTCACGGTGCTGGTACCTTTTCGGCGATAAGTCGAGTGATCCAAATAGCCCCCCTTCCCCCTACCAAAATTTTATATATGTCCAAATGTGAGGTGTACCCGGATGGTGTACTCATTAATTTCCGCCGTTTTTTGGTGTGCAATAATACATTTATTTCATAATAAAATGAAAGTATAACGAATGAGATAATAGTCCATGGGAAGCGACATCCTTTGCCTATATTTCATGTAATTTACAGATAACATCTCGAAAAAATAACGGTACTTCTGACCCTATGAAAGGTTCGACCCATTTTTTTGACTTTTTCGAAAAAAAAAGTGAACCGTTCTCCATTTAAGTGATTTTGAATTCTCTGAAACCAGTGGTAGTCAGAAGGAGCAAGGTCTGAGTACGCAGGTTGATTAAGCCGATCCCATCCGAGGTCCTCCTAAGAAATATTTGATGTGTTCTGTGAAATGCCGCTGATCCATTTTTTTTTCTCGCAAAAAACGACTCTTTTGTGGAATGGGTCAAATTTTGATGATTCTGCTGTCAATAATCGGTATATACCGATTGATTATTATTAGAAACAATTAATTCTAACACTTTAAACACTCCTTACACCCCACCTGTCCCCATCCAACCCCTAAAAGTGAAAAAATGCATTTTTCAGTGATGCACTTGCAGCGCCTCCAATAGTGACAAGGATCCGCGATCAAAATATGGTTTTTTCTTCTCGACTCTATCGAGAAGGGTTCAATCTTCATTACTAGTGCACACTTGATACAAGAATAACCATTTTTATGAGAAATTAACAAAAAACCAAATCATTGATAACCATTTTTCATCGTTTAAAAAAGCCTCCCCACGAATTGGCGTTCGAAAAAAAAGTTCCAGGAAGAACAAAAATTTAATTATTATAAGTATTGTGGGCTAATTTTTATAGATTTTAACGTGCTCCAAAGAACATACAATAGCTAAGATTGTCAAAAAAATGAATATGTATCTTTTACACATCTAAATGTCAGCGGCGGAAATTAATGAGTACACCCAATATATATATATATGTATATGTATATGTGTATAAGATTTCAAGAATATATCTATCAAATAAACCTAGCTGTACGATCAAAATATCGAAATTTGTGCGTTTTATTCAGAAAAAAATTTCGGATGCCGTTAGAAAAACACCCTTTAGAATATTTGAAATGTGCTACACAAATATACAAAACTTGTGGTAAAACGTTAAAGCACCAGCAGTGTGGCAGTAAAAATCGCTATCTAGTATTTGTGACACTCTCTATTCAATTATCAATAGATGTATGTAAATCATATTATGTCATGTGCAAATGAAATACCTAATAATCACTCAGTTGTATGTAGCGGAGAACAACTCAGTCAGAATATTTTTACGAAAGATGTGTATCTGCAAAAAAAAAAACGGAATAATCCTTAAATAACGGAATTTTAAGGTATAAATAAAAAATACACTATCTAAAATCTTCCGCTAGTTTAGTATGTAGATGATAGTAAATGATATAGTACGAAAAAATTGATGGTGTCTCATGAATCGTGTGATTCCGCTAGTTGGACATTTTGTGTAGCATGCTAGCGAATCCAAATACATAGAAGTAGAATTTGTGATCTTACAGCGCTGAAATTCATCATTTTCGCTCTCTTTACCATATAAAACATTGCAGTCAATGAATTTCGATCTGAATTTGTATGTATTTTAACTTGGCAATGGTATATATTTTTATGTGCATTGGTCGACATTTGACTTCGTCACGCACAATAAATGCGATGTTCAAATTGGTCTGTTTTTGTTATTTTCATTTTTCGTGCTATTTTTTTGTGCTATATTCAATGCAACATATTTGCAAATTTTCGGTTAACGGAAGCAACTTGTATGGGCAGGATGTGAATGTTCACCATATAAATATGCATTATGCATCAAACATAAAGTAATCGTAAACCGCACACATGAACGCCACTCTCAAAATAATGTACACTTTACATTTTCAGATGCGCCTCCTGTCATGCTTTACAGCTTTATAGAACAAACACTACAACCCGGCCCAGCCGTCAGTCGTATGTTATAAACTATTACAGAAAAAAAATATATTACTCATTTAGAGAATTGAATTAATATGCCCAATCGACTTAAAAAAAATTTGCAGTGAAATGCTCAGCAGCCGGAAATCCGACACCGCAAGTTACATGGACTTTGGATGGATTTCCACTTCCCTCGAATGGCAGGTATGTGCTTAAAAACCAAACGTTCAACAAATGCAAAAGCAAAAAGATGCATAAGAAATATATTACTCTGGGAGCTGACATATGAAAGAAGATGTGTTTGGGGGATAGACACAATTAAAAAATTAACAGAAATTAGAGAAACTGAAGAAATTTTTTGCCTTTTTTGATTTGCTGTTTTGAATAGTTTTTACTCACTCAGAATTACTTCGGTGACATGTACATGTATTGGTAATATGACAGATCACCACCATTACTATTGGCGAGCATAGTATTTTTATATGTTGTATCGGCACTGTTGTGTGACGTTATTACCAATAATTGTAATTGTAAACTATGTGCCAATAGAAATCGTGGTAATCTGTCAAATAACCAATACAAGTCGTACATACATATCGCCAAAGTAATTCTGAGTGAGTATACTTTAAAACAAATAAATACGTTCGCAATATGAACTATGAAATTTGTCATAACGGTTTTGTTTGAAGCGCTGAAAGCACTGAGAACTTTTTTTTGGTTCAATATCAACCGACTAAAACGATACCTAGCGGATATGCTAGCCCTTTAATTTTTATGATAAAATTTGCAATGGTCTTTAAAGTATTTCAACTCTACTGAACAGAACTGAACAAAAAAAAGAAAACTGTGACTGAGTAGACTGATGGTACGATTTTAATACGTAGAGGCTACAGCTATCAGTGATGATTCACGTCCTTCTTTATATTTATAAATAAATTTTGAACCTAAAATCCAGAACGTGTTTTGAGCTGACGTCAGCTGCTGATATCAGCGGCTGACGTTAGTTAGTGCTGCTGACGTCAGCTCAAAACACGCTCTGCTAAAATCAGTCTAAAAATGTAAAAATAAATCACTTTTGTTTGGATAGTTGCGAGGTAAACGATACGACACTTGAGTTGACAGTTGTTATTATGTTGGGTTGGTACAACTGTCAAAGCAAAACTAAAAAATTAGCAAATACGGGAAAAAAAATAGCTAGCAGATACAATGACGCAAACTGCGTGATATACACAAGGATAGCGCCATCTACAATCACTAGAAGGAAGCTATGGTGCCAAGCGTCAATCTTCAAAGCATAAAAAACGTTCAAAACGCTCGATCCATCTGTCAAATTTGTATTTCATAAACACAAACGGTTCTATTTATGTGTACATGGAATATTTAATTGAATTAAGAAATTGTTGAAAATATTGAATTTCGTGTTTATATTGATTATGAAATTAACTGTTCAATGGCAAACCAGCGAAATATCGATTATCGAATCATATCGAATAGACTATTACTGTGGATTGCTGAGGGCCGGTTCACTGAGTCGGTTTACTAAGTCGGTTTACTGAGTCACAAAATTTGGATCATTTTCCCTTGAATACAACATCTGTTTGCTTAAATGAAACGAATTTTATTGAATTTAAGAAAAATTTCATTTCTTTGTAATTCGTTTTAAAAAAAATGTCAAATACTCACTCAGAAGTACTTTTACAACATGCACGATTAATTACCATGCATACAGCTACGCCGAACGCAAATAAATTTTAAAATCATTACAGAAATCAAATGCAAATCACAACTTTTGCAGCTATTTAGTGTTGATCTTGCGATTGGGACAGCATTCGGTATGTACGGCACGCCGCATACATATACAAATAAAAAGAACTGACATTAAAGCTTTAAAAAAAAAACATCAACGCCATCATCACAAAGCATTGCCCATACGTCGACGTCTACGACAATAATAACATCATCATGCTACTACTCGTCAGTATCGACTCCAGCAATGTGGGAGAGCAAGGCGCACAAGACCCATAGAATGAAACTGGAAAACTTTGTGGAAGTCACAACCTTAATTGCGTGTGAAAAGACGCTTTAAATATTCAGCAGTCGCTTCGTTCCTTGGCAAATATTTGTCTTACGTTTGTTCGCTCGTTCGTTCTCCGATGGTATGCAATATAAAAAGGGTCGAATATGATGTTTTGATAAAATACATTGGTTCGGTATGTAAATCGGTTATGCGGCACGTTTTCTGCTCCTTCCACTTCTTCAGCGGAGTTTCATCTTTGTCCCTTTTTTCCTATAATCATTGGCATGTTCTTCTGTTTGTGTTTCGCTCATTCGGTGATAATATTCTCTTTCACTCACACACATTATCTCTCTCCCTCTCTCTTACATACTCTGGTGCTTGTAAATGTTTGACACATCGTATGCCGTCTTCATTGTGTTTTAGTGAACAATTTGCGAGTATATGCTACTTATTATTATTATTGGGAACGATATCGTTGGGAGATGCGGTGGTAAGGTAGTAAAGTAAAACACCACGAACAGCAGCATCAGCGGTATCTCAACGACATTCCATTCATTGTCGAACAGAAATTGTACTGCTGCTGTTACGGGATTGTTGTTGCTGTTGCTGTTGCTGCTTAACGTTCGCAAACTATGTTCATATTCAGTTTTCATGGTCGATTGATTTTATAGTGTAATTCCGTTAAGCTGTTTAATTATAATCTAGTATGCTATTAGAAATAGATTTAATTCCATTTGGGTTCGGGTCAGGGAACTTAATTGTCACTCTCCTTTTTTCTGCATTCCATTAATAATTAGTTTCGAAAGAAATTCCTAAAAGATTTCTTTCAGCAAGCGTTTTTCAAGAGAAAGGTAATTGTATTCTACTGATGATAATAGTGATATTCTGAATTTAAATCCCGATTTCGACTCAGATATGTAACATATCAAAAAAGTTTTCGCTTGCAATTTGCATACATAAGAAGCCGATCACAGGACAGAACGATATCCATTAATTTTATTTCGACGTACATTTTGCCACCAATGACAATATGATTGCTCTCTGCGGCAACATTTTTTTTATTTTGTCCAAGAGTAAACGGTAAAATTGTTGACTTATTTTCTCACAGCTTGTTAACAGTAAATGTTTTAGCACTATGTTTGCGGCAACCTTGGGTAGGATTTTTATCCATCCCCTACAACAACATGTCGCCGTAAAGCAAAACCTTTCCGCGACATTCCGCATTGCGATAGGATTTTAAATGTACAGGTTTACGCGAAATAATTATGCCGAGTCTGCGACATATCGCATTGCGTAAACCTATAATAAATAATTCAAATTGTATCCAACTTCAGTATATTGAAAACATAATTTGTATGTAGAGCTGAATTCGAATGAAGTTGATCGCAGTTCGAGTTCATGCATTTTCTGACAACTATTGCGGAAGGTTAGCGATACATTTGTGTAAAAGTCCCGTGGGGATTTATTTCAACATACTTACACTCGCTTCGTCCAGCTTCGTTGTTAGATAACTGAATTTGAGTGCGTCAAACATGCTCAGTGCTTGTAACATAACCCAATTGCATTAACAAAAATCCTTACAATGTCGAAAAAACAGTGAAAGGTTTGTGACATTACACTAGCACCAACGAATAAATGCAATGACAGATACGGCAGAATTCGTAACTACTTTTTACATATGCAAAGTACAAATTCATAAGGCATCTCCATTCGTATTAAGTTTGTATTATGAACGTTAAGGTGCGTGCATCGCCATTTCATGTAAAATAAACAAGTGGAGGATGGCACACAGAATTTATTTTTACTTCATTTCAATATTCTGCCTCTCTTGACAAAGATAAATACTTAAAAAGTCATATATATCTCAATGAAGCAGAGGACTTGTCGTCACACGCGTAGATGTAACAATTCACTCTATTTAGCGATTCGTTAGTTGCCGAAACATCGTCTATGCAGTACACTCGATATTTAACGTGAAATCCTAATATTCGGTAAGCCGAAGTATGATTCACGTTAGATATAACGTCGTAGTCATAGGTCATTCGGCTAACCGAATATTAGGATTTCACGTTATATACACTGCAAAATTAAATGGAGAATCTGTCATCTTGACATGTGGTAAAATAGCGGTTTACCCTATGTAGACGGGAATTTACCCTCAAACTGGATGAATCTCTACATAAATATACGCCCTATGCAAAATGACACAGATATTTTCAATCACTCGTTTTGCTCTGACCATTTCATTTGTGATATATTGCTACGAGTTTGTTCTTGTTTTTTTCATTCTTTGCTCCAGTCGAATATCTTTTTACAATTTATCGCTTTTCTAGCCACCTCAATACCATCATCGAGCGCAAGAAACGAACGAAAGAATCTTTAACGAATAGATGTTTTCCATCAAATTTTATTTAATTCTGTTATTTTTGAACGCATAATAAATGTATCTTGTCGCAGGCTTGCCGATTGAATTACGTGTCTGCCGCGCTCTCAACATGTTTGCAGTGGCTTATGCGATAGCTAGTAAGCGACAGAAGAAATGACAATAATTTTCAATTCGGATTGAACAGCGCACGCGAGTACTCCACTTCGAACATGGGTAAAAAGATAAAGTAGAAAATAAAACGGAATCGAAAACTTTTCATTCTCTTGTGTGTGAACTTGATGGCTTTTCGTAAAGTTCCAAAAAAAACCGATAACACCTGGAGCTAGTTGAAATGATTTCAATTGCACGAATTACATTATTATGTGAAGTATTCTGAAGAAGAATCGGATACTTTTATTCGACAAATGAAATGCAGATTGAAATGCATTATTGGCACAAGAAAATAGTTTGCCCAAAATCTATTATGCCAAAGAAGTTGGCAAAACTTCAGGACATTAGCGCCTAGTGTTGCGAAAACGAAAAATAAATGTGATTATAGAACAATAAACTTATAAATACCATTAATACCTTTCGGTGTTTGGTCTGTTTTCGAATCAGTGTATCAACCTCTATCTATTCTCCTCCAAGCTGTTCTTTATAAAGCCGATCTACTTGTTTCTACTACGTCCATCAGCCTCTGAATACAACACTCTTTTCGGTAAACGAAAATCTTCCATTCCGTTAAATGTAATTGAATGAGAAATCTAATTAACCTGTGTTAGGATACGTGTCAATATTTGCTGAAAAATGATGAAACCAATATTTTTAGTTGGGTATGAAAATATATATAGCAGCTGTCAATTTGAATCAAATTCAACTGTTCATGCGAATTTGAAAGCCGACCATTTAAATCTATTCGTGAGACGTAAAAGAATGTATGTTTGTTTTCGATTTATATTTTTGAAAAGGAAAGTATGTTTTCTGTTGATTCTATCTGCGTTGAAAGAAAGTATGTTGGCATATCGTCTAGCCTCCAAAGTTTTCCATGGTTTCCGCGGAACTGATAAGCGAAAACAACATGGCGTCTTCAGCAAAGTAGTACTCGAGGTCTTCTATAAGATTGCTGCAGACAGTTTCCTCTTATCTTCTATCAATTGCGCGCAAATCGCGAACATAAAAGAGCAAATTTTGTTTTTCATGCTTTTCGCGGAACTGATAAGAGATAAGAGATAACTGTCTTCAGCAATGTTATAGGAGACCTTAAATACTACAACTTTGCCCAAGACACCATGTTGTTATCTTTTATCAGTTCCGCGGAAACCGTGAAAACCCGCGATGACCCACCAAAAACGAACATACATTCTTCTGACCATTATTAGTTGCAATGAAACATACTTTTCTTTATTTCTACGAAGTTGGACAAACTTGCGTTCTTTTACGTCTCACTAATAGAAATAAAACATGTCAATACGTTCTATAATATAATAATAATTCAGCGTTTGTACATAATTTTTTAAAACGTGATTTCTTAATTATGCTGCTTTTGTTAAACAAGTGAATGGGTCGAAAATCATCTTATAAAAAAGCAAAAGCAAACGTTTCAGGGTGTAAATAATAATTTTATTTTCTTGGAAACGACGAACAACTTGGCTTTCCAATGCCAAAGTTGACATTCAATGTAAATTTCGATTTTGAACTAGCTTCGTAAAAACTCTGCAATTTTCAGATTTGTACAATCAAAAAGGAAGGTACAAGTTCATCTACTATAATGAATACATCTTACTATAATAAAATTACTCTGGCTTGAACGCAGAGCATATCCAACCGCTGGTGACAAAATTGCAGAATTTTCAGGTTGCTCGCAGCTCACAATCACAATTTTCAATTTCGATCCGACAACAATTGGTCCTTTTGTCCATTATTACAACTCTTTTTTCTTTTCCTCCTTTTTAACGCTTGATGGTTTCATTTGTCGTTGGCCAGAAGAAAACTTTTTCCATCAACACTTATCGATTTTTCTGTTCAGCGCTCATTGAACTGGACTCACATTCCATCGTTTGGTGAAACATTTCAAATATATATCCAGCGCCCGTGTGCAGGAATAATTTGACTGATGTTCAGAATTAGTCATTTATAGTATTTAGTTTGCTAGTTATCTATATTCATCCGAATCCAACTACCAGTTCGGAATGTTCAATCGTTTTAATTGTATTCAGGCAAAATATCTCACACATGAGTAAATTTCGACTCAGTCACCATTTTCATTTACTCGAATCACATCGAAAATGAGCTACATGGCATACTGAAATAAACAAAGACGTAAGCCAAACGTCAACCACAAATGAAAAATATGGAAAAATGCTGATGAATTAATCGTTACTAACTTTTTTTATGCCCTCGACACATTTTTGAAGTCGACGATGCGGTTATCAATGCTGTTGTCATTATCGGTGGTGCAATGCATGGGCTATGATAATTACGAACAGTTTATAAATTCAGTCGGTATTAAGTCTTGGTTACCATTCTGTGATGAATGTATATTTACATAAAATTTGTATATAAACAAACAGTATTATGTCGTATGCATCTGTCTGAAAAAAAGGAGCAAGGGACCAGTGTAATTGCTGCATTTGCTTTATATATTTGATTCCATGTTTTACATCGTTCGTAATGTATGTATATAATTGATGAGACGTAAAAGAATGTTAGAACAAAAGAGAAGTCCGTTCCATTGCAAATAATTATAACAAAAAGAATTTATGTTTGTTGTTCAAGAGTCGTCGCGGCTCTTCGAATTTTTCGCAATTTGTAAATTATAACATATAACCAGTTGGTGTCCTCGACGAAAAAACGCCACCACCGTCCTTATTGAATGTCAAAACAATATCGAAAGTAGCACATCTATTTGCGCCCCTCGCTTTTTTGCGCTATATTTGTTTATAAGTATGATATGATGATATTTATTTGAAACCCACCAACGAAAGACGCGTATTGTTAATAAGGAATAATACAAATGACATGTAAAAGCATGTAAAATTATTAGAAAAAATCAGGATTTTACGGAGACGAATGTGCTCTTTCCGCCTGTAATCACAAATCTTGAATGAATGAATGAATAAATTAGTTGCAACGAAACTTACTTCTCTTTATTGCCACGAAGTGAAACAAACTTATATTCTTCTATGCCTCAGCAATGGATATAAAATAAAGTAAAAAAAAGCGACGAGACAAAGGAAGAAATGCAAAAAAGGAATAAATAACAAAAGCTGAATGATGTAAAAGGAATCAAGAAGCAATCATGAAGCAATCGTGGCGTGTAATAACGGCGGACGATGCTCAAGAATCCCATTTCAATTAACTCGAAATGATTTGAAACTGAACGAAAAGGGGTATGAAAATCTGAAAAGACAGAAGAAAAAATCACAGTTCATAAAAAATCCACATCGAAAATATGCTCATAATGTTCTCCATATTAGTATTAATCACAACAACTTCACTTCAAATTTGTGCTCATTTTTGGTGTAAGTCAGATTTTCACACTTAAAACTCCATGCAAAACGGGCACATTTCTGATGAGACTGACAATGATGTTTTGGTTTTGCCATGGCAATGGTAATTTATATTGATACATTACCTATCATTATGTGCTCGTTTTGTATGGAGTTTTCGTTGTTAAAATCTAACTCACACCAAAAATGCGAATTTTCATGAGCCATATAGGGAACATTTTGAGCATATTTTTGATGATGATTTTTTTACGGGAGGGTATGCAACATTGATCCAACTGCAAATTGTCTTCATAATATCCTTTGCGGCTGACATTCGTGTGCTTTTTGTGTCTTACAATAACAACAGATAGCTGTTCTCTCCTTTGCCAGATGAAAAATGTTGTTCTTAAAGTGTAATGATATGTTAATGGCATAAAACTTATTTTCCTCGGGCGGTTCAATGTGGTGCCGAAAACTATAACTAATTTTGTTCAGTGCACGGTGCGCGATGCGTGCCGTTCCAAAGTCGCTCTTTGTTTCCTATTGCTGGTATATGTGGAGTACGATTGAATCAAAAACTGAATCGGAATCCCACCCATCCACTCCGCTTTGTGCTTCCATTCAAGCATGGTTTTTCACTTGAAATTAATACTGCCGTTATTAATGTGTTGAAGATAGAATCACCAAAGCACGCGCGCAATTAAGAAACTTTGAATGTTTGTGGTGATTATACCTAGAAGAATCATCAGTTAAGTATGCGGAAGCTATCAAGAGCCCATTTGTTTTCTCTCATCTCAAACAATTCGTATGTTAAAATAAAATTGAATGTTGCAAGTGATAACATTTGCTCAGTCGTTTCGTTAGACATTGTATTAATTCTGTTGTATATAAATATAAATATAAATACACATGTATATCAACATTCTTATAATTTTCAGATTTCTCATTGGTCAGTATGTAACAATTCACGGCGATGTTATAAGCCATGTCAATATAAGCCATGTTATGGTCGAGGATGGGGGAGAATATTCGTGTATAGCGTCAAATCGTGCAGGAAAAATTTCACACTCTGCCCGCCTCAACGTGTACGGTAAGTTGAATTTTTCGTTGTTAAATGGTAAAGAAAAACGAGATCAAAATAAGTTACATGAACTGAGATCAACGAAGCATTTGCGGAAAAGAAACAAGTTCCAAAATTTATTTGAAAAGTATCCATGCGACAGCAAAAGTAGAAAATAAAAATATGGAGTAAGCATTGATGCTACGATTCGAAATAGCATTCGTCTGTATTATTGTTGAATGAGCACAAAAAATATTCAATACATAATATTTGAATCATTGAAAATAAATCCACAACATTTCTAAACGGTTGGTAAATGCGTGACATTCATTTGTCGCACAGAATAACGTATGTGGTGTAAATTTATATAATCACTGAGCAATTTTTGCGATACAAATATTGTGATAAATAACTAAAGGGTATGCAAACTCATCTTCAGCGGTTCAGTTTTTCAGGATCTTTTCTTTTCTGTTGCAACATTCTTCTTTTTATTGCATTTCTGACGCTTTTTGCTTCGTTTTCTTTGCTCAGATTCCATCTGCCAAGTTATTTACATCAAAAGCATACACACCAAAATATGGAATATGTAAACTAGTAGCCGATGACACTTATACGCGAGTTGATTTACATCTAGAAATAAACGAACGAAAAATGTCACTACTTTCTAGTTACATTATTCACTAAACTACCGTTAGTCGTCACTTGTTTATTTATTATATCATACACTAATTTTAAAATGAGAGATTTAGGTACAATACAGCAAATTGAGAAGCGAAATATAGAAATACTCCATGTATTTTGTTGACGATTGAAGCAAAGAATATCAATAGCGTCATCCAACGTGATGCGACGCATATGACGGCACGAATCAACATCTCTGTGTACAACGCACACATAGACTCTTTGCATTCACATGCACGTATAGTTACTGATACTCATGTTTGGTGGCGCTTGTAACAAAGTTTCAACAGCTGTTCAAAACGCCAGACATTGCTATAGCATAAGAATTAGGTAGTATTGTTAAAAAGGATGAAGAGTGTAAAAAGAACCTTGAAGATTTCTTTTTCGTTCCAAGAAATGAACGCTATAAGTGTGACTGAAAAACTATAAACTTCTTCTTCTGAAGTCATTTTTTCCCTCTTAAACTGAACTTTGAAGAATGCGTATATTTACCGCTTCAAGCATAGAAAAGGATAAATCTTGATAAATTATATATAAAAATACATGCGGAGGCATACATCTGTTTGAAATGAGTTTTTAATTTCTTTTGAATGAATGCACTACACGTCATGTACATGTTGTCATGGGTATTGTGCATACCCAATATATAATATACAATGCTTTGCATTGTATGTGCATGATAAAATTGCAGTTGCAGACATACAAATTACAAAAAGCATTTAATATTTCAATGAGTGCGATTCGAATCAAAACGTTAGCAAAAACTCAATCTAAGATATGGATCTGAAGTGCAGCTTACTTAAGCGCTCTCTAGTAAAATAGCTGGCAGTTATAAGTTGTCCGTTGGAACTATGAAATCACCAAAAACAATGCAGTGGCGCAAAAATATGAAAATTCGAGATTTATACTTTGTTGTCGCGATGGTTTTTTCTCTAACGATGTGTTTTATTAGCAATGTGTCCAAAACGAATAAATACGGCATCGCATAAGGCAGTTATCGCATAAATATTGCGCGATAATTTTCTGCTTGCGTTGCCGCAGTATGCGATATTTCAATATAATTTTGGACACATTGTTAATTAGCAAATAATTTAAATAGCAAATATAGTTTTTATTTCAGCTGCCAGATTTAGTTTTCCTAAAACTATAACCGAGTTACCGAGTATAGATGTGCCGAAAGAAGAATCACTCGCGGCGCACAGCATTTTTGAGAATTGTCTACCCAAAATTGTACCATCCACTTATTGTATGTAAGAAAATCTTATATGGTCGTAATCGGTGGACCTTTGTGCTTTGACACAATGCATCATGTTATAGAAATGCATATCTGTCTGGAGGCAATTCTAGACATATGCCTTGGGCGGCCAATTCAAGCCAAACCATCGAAATTTACTATTTTACAGCATTTACTTGAAAAACACAAATTCAACCACATTTAAATGCTATTGAGTAATTTTGTTCACATCTTTTTGACTACATAAATATGATTTTGCATTTCCTATGAATACAGTGATTTTAGTCCTTTTTTTTTGAAATTATGGCGCCGCCGAATATAAATTTGTCGGCGCCAGCTAAGATGCATCATTTTGTCAGAACTAGTTGGTGTTTTTAACTTCTAAGGCATCAATAGTTTACACTGTGAGCGCACAAATGATTATATGCTAAGACCTGGCGGTAACGATATCTACTTTTCATCTAAAAAATCTGTGTTCGAATTTCCGATTTTTTTTCGGCACACCTATGGCTGTAGCAGCCAAAAGAAAACTCCACTGCCCCCTGGACAGCGTGACAATCGAGCCGTTTGCAAAACACCAATAGGCGTACGCGACGAATCATTCTGGTTCCCCGAATTTATCCAAAATCCAAAATATGGCTGTAGCTCGGCCAAAGTTTTCGGAAAACTAAATCTGGTGGCTGAACCAAAAATGTTTTGACCATATTTACCCTACCGTATGCAAAAATAAGTACTCAATTATATTGATAAATGATTTATGCCTAAAAATAAAAGTGACAGTTATTCTGGCCACAGGGGTGGGTATGGTATTTTAAGTGTCCAAAAATGTCATTCTAAATAAATTGAGTGGAATTAGGGAAACAAATGAACAAAAGTGACATTTTGATTTATACTTCACATTGAAGTTTGAACTCATACAAGGAATTTATTTATTGCGATGGTTTATTTGTTCACAGGCTTACCATACATTCGTCTAATACCAAAGGTAACAGCTGTTTCTGGTGAAGTTCTACATCTAAAGTGCCCTGTAGCGGGTTATCCTATTGAAGAAATACATTGGGAACGAGGTATATGTACTTAAAATACAACTTTTCTTTATAGTAGTAAAATAAATATTCCTTCGCTACTCTACAAAATTGAATGTTCATCTAGAAGAAAAAATTGAAATTGAATGTTTGTTTGGGCATTAATACAGACTTATGATCAAATCAACAAAATAAAAAAAAAATAAATTTTTTTTTTCGTTTTGTTGACAACTCTATCTATATTCATATACGATATTGCAATAAGCTGTGAGCTGTCAGAAAAACAATAATCGGTTTCCCAAACTTGGTCATCGACGGGATTAGTTGAACTAAATATAGATGGAGCTGACTCTAAAATGCAAGGAAAAGCATCAGCATCAATATCAAGTATGAAGGTGCCTTGAGTACCTGCACAGAGAATATATTTTTTGAAATAATCCAGACCACCTCCATCTGATTATGGAATAAGATTCAAACCGTATAAATCGTGGTGTGTGTCTTAAATATCTCCTAATGTACTTATATGAGAGATATTTAAGATAAAAGCCTCGATTTAGATGGTTTAGATCTTATTCCATTTATAAGATGGTGGCGGTCTGAATTATTTTAAAAAAATTCTCTGTGTGGAAACACTCAATGGTAATGCTAACCAGTAAACATACAATCATATCACACGCCGATTTTCAAATGCCTACGCCCGTTGGATAAGGCATCCCTCAAAACCCACAAAAAAGAGTTGGGAAAATGCTTCTTTGCGGGGAGCTATAGCTCCTAAACAAGTGGAAATTTTTCAAAAGTGTCTTTAGCAATGTTGTTGATCTTGACAAAATCAAAAACTTTGCTGAACATTTCACTCTCAAAAAGTCACCCCCTTGAATTATAAGGCGGTATGAAAATTACAAATTTTCGGGGTGGATTTTTGACTTGAAGGGGTAATTTACTCGACGAGGCTGCTTATTTTGACCAGATCTACAACTTTTCGAAAGACACCAAGTGAACATTTTCAGCCGTTTGGAAGTTAATCATAGATTCTGACACTAAATGCCGTTTTTTCTAAACAGATCGATTTCTCGCTGAAATTGAGAGCAATACAGAATCTGTTTGGTGCATTGGAATCGGCATCGGAAGTAGATTCGAAAATATGTGGGTCGGAGGGTGAAATAGCCCCAGGGGTTGAAATAACCCCATTTAGGTCAAATTTCGACAACACGTGATTTTTGACCAAAATTGAAGGTAAATTGAAAATACTATTGATACCGGGTAAACCAAAAATCGTCCTAAAACATACAAAAACCGTACTAAATTTTCCGAAAATCGTACTAAATTTTCCGAAAATCGTACTAAAGTTTCACAAAAATCGTACTAAAAAATCACACAAACTACGTGAAAAGTTACAAAAATCGTACTAAACTTTCCGAAAATCGTACTCAACTTTCCGAAAATCGTACTAAATTTTCCGAAAATCGTACTAACTTTTCACAAAAATTTCATCTGTTTTTTTACCCATAAGACCATGTCAACTCATTTTTTTTTCAACTTGAAATAGGTGTCATTTGATAGCTGGCCCCAAACTCTTTCCAACGATACCCAAAAGTCTGGAATTGATTAACTGGTTTTGGCACAGTGACCATTGGAAGGGAAGCCATTTTTTGATTTTTCAAAGACCGGTCAAGGCTAAGATGGCCCGTGTACTATGACAGTTTGATACAATCCACGCCTAGAGAGCCAATGTAGTTTTTCACTC